CAGCGAAAAATAACAAATTATGTTAAAATTTCATATTTTATGAAGCTGCTGAATTTCGCAAGTTGCTAAAGGGTCATATGCTGCGCACAGCTCGGCGAGGTAGTCGGTACTTTTAATGATTTTTCACTGTTGGTACTGCGAAGCGTTGGTTTTGTTTTTGTTGTGCGCGCGTACATCAACAACAAAAATACGATCATTAAGTAAATAATTAGAAGCAATAACTCAGCGTTTAAGCGCCATAATTCAAAGCATAAAATGAAAATGATGAAAATGCTAAAAAAAACATAAATGAGAAATGCTGTAAAGAATGTGAAGTGATGGTGTAAGGAATTAAAATGGAAATGAGTGGAAAGAAGCAGACGGCGAGGGAAGAGGAAAGTAGCAGCATAGCAACGGAATTAAAATATCTATTTATTATAAGTAAAGCACGATATTTTACTGCCAATATGCAACAAATAACCAGTTGCCGGGCAATTTTCCATTTTTCCTCAAAAAGTGGCATGAATGGCAGCAGCAACATGCCGCTTTAAGCAGAGAAATCTTTAATTGAAGTGGCCAGAGTGGATGATACTCGTAGCTTGCGCCTTTTTATGTTTCAGAAAAATCTGTTAGCCCTCAGCGTGCCACTAAATCATTATCAGCACAGTTGAGAAGGAGAACATCGCATTACAAATATGCATAAGGGTCATTCCATACAAAATATACTCATCAATATTTTTTTTTTGGTGTGAAATATTTTTTTTTTTGCATTCTTTAACGAAAAAAANTCTACTCATCAATATTTTTTTTGGTGTGAAATATTTTTTTTTTTGCATTCTTTAACGAAAAAAATGCACCTATTTGATTATCATCATAATATTCGAAAATCTCGAAAAAAAAATTCCGAAATTTTGAACTCACAAAGAAGTATATTTTTTTTAATTTTTGCAGGTAATAAACTATACATTTGTCTGAAAATATGTTGAGTGGTCAAAATGTTCGTAATTACCTCGGCTTTGATTAGAATGTGAGATAGATTGCATTTTTTTGTAATCGTTTAGTTTATTAAGTATACACCGTTTGATTTATGTTTATTTTTTTTTGCAATCTAAATAGTTGTCAAACTTTATGGAGTACATTGTAAAAATTTGAGAATGGAAAACGTAAACTTTTACAGTGTACTCCATAAAGTTTGACAACTATTTATTTATCTACTGATTTTCTCCGACAAATAGTTTATTTTTTAACTGCCAAAAATTAAAAAAAAAAAATATATACATATATATATCTCTGTGAGTTCAAATTTCTGAAATTTGTTTCCAAGACTTCCGAATATCATGATGAAATAAAAAATGAGGTTTCTTCTATAATGAATGTAAAAAAAAATATTGACGTGTAAATTTTGTATGCAATGACCCATAAATATATCTGTGTGTATATAAAAACAAAATATTAAATAAACAAGTTTAGTGAAAGGCCGCGCCAGTGTGTTGATATTCAAACCCAAAACTCATTTACAAAACGCAATTACTTAATTATATGCTTTAACAGAAATACATAAATACACAGCATCCATAGGTATGTACATACATATTGAGCCCTAACCGCCAAAATAACCTAAGCGACATTTTTTTCAAAATTATCTCTTTGATGCAGAAATATTCCCAGAGCATCTAGATACATTTCTGCATCAAAAAGAAAATTTTGAAAAAAATGTCGCTTACGTTATTTTGGCGGTTAGGGCTCGAGATGTATGTGTACATAAGCAAAGAAGTATAATTATTATGATCACTCAGTAAATCCATTTATTTGGTTGTTTTGCTTGCCGTAGATTGACGCTTTTCTCGTTTTGCCCATTTTATTTTATTTTTTTCGAGGCGCCCGCCCATCTGTCCAAGCGACCAACCAACTGTTTGCTCCTTTGCTGTCTTTTAAACGAATGTCTGCTGAATTGCGCCCAGCTGTACTCCATATTTAGATATTTATGTACATTATGCATGACAGATTGCTGGTAATGAATTATATTTAATTATGAAAATCAATTTCGTTTTCTCAAGAAAACGCCATTGACGATGAGGCGGTGCGTTTGGGAGTTTCTATGAGATTTATGTGGGAAATGGGTGAGTGAGTGAGAATTTATTATGTATGTACATACTTCTGTGCATTACTTATAAATATGTAAGTAGCATATGCATGTTTGTATATCTGTGGAATTATCTTTAGTACATACCTACATAAATAGGTACTAGGGCGGGTCAAACTTTTCGAATATAGGCGTATAGCATATTTAGGTGGATTCTACGTCTAAGTCTAAGCAAATTTTCCGAAGTAACCATGGAGTTTGCTGAATTTGCAAAAATAGGTTTCGTTTTCTTAGAACTTTGCTGTAGTGCCGTGAAGTAGTACTTAAATTTTGTATAAAAGTATGCTATAAAAGGTTTTTGGTATTTTGATGCTGTTTTTTTGTAAAGTAAAATAGTGAATTGGCAGGTCCCTGAACCTCGCCCTCTTGTGATTCACACACTTTTCTGGTGACAGAATCAAAGCTTTTTTAAAAGTATTTAATTGACTCTAGGTAATCGTTTCAAAAGTTCTTCGATTAGGGTGATTAAACATTTTTGACAGTATTTTAATATGCTTCTTAAGTCAAGTTTATCACGCAGTTCATTAGCCTCTTCTGTAAAATTATCGTGGAAAACTAAGTTTTGCATATTTTTATAATACGAAACAATTTATTTGAAGGGACAAAATCGCCAAAAATCGCCAATGGCGATTTCCTAAATTTTTACGCGCAAATGTCAAAAAAAAACGCCAAATTGGCGCGAAATCGCCAAATCTGGACACTCTGCTCACAATGGACAATTATGCCTCCGAGTGAAATTTTGGAATGTTCCATACACGCCCTCCTAACATAACCCAACCTAACCATTCGTCGGGGTAACACAAAAAAACTAATCCCTATGGGCTAAGTGAGGAAACCTAACCTAATATTAACCTAGCCTAAACTAGGTCTTATAGTTTCTGCTGAATTAGTACGTTGCAATTGCAGTAGTGTTTAATTAAATACGTATTTTATGCAGTGTATGAAAAAATATTTTTAATTGATCCATAGTTACGGTGACCATATCTTTTAAATAAAAATACAGTACACAGTATGGAAAATATATTGTCCCACAGCCATATGCATTTAGCGCTTCAGCTGACGTATGGCCCATTCGGTTCTTCGGGCTCACACTATGGTGGCGGGCGCTGTACAAAACTGCGTCCAAAAGCCAAGAGAAAAGGGTGCTAAAGACGCAAAGCTCCAGAAGCTCTATCGGTTCTTCTTGCGACAAAAAATTTTACCTCCCCGAGGAAGTCAAATTCGGAAGCTAAAATTCAAGATAATATATCTAGAAAACAGCGGGAGCAAATTAGTTAGGAACAAATTGGAAAGGTGTTAAAAGCTAGACTCTAGTTCCATTTCAAACTTCAGCGATGGCTCCAAGCTAAATACTATAAAGCTCGGAAGCAAAATCCACTCGCAATAACTGCTTCTAAGCTTGAGCCCCTCTCAGCAGAAATAGGTACGTCCGGTACCGGAATATTGCAGCGTTTTCCAAGCTAAATTACACGATATAAAGAATGCTACTTACTCTCTGCCCAAGGAACTCTCCTGTAACTAAGATTACTCGACCGCACTCTACTCTGACAACCAAATTGCCGTTTTATCTCTAAACGATTTGGATATGCGAAACTAATCTTTAGTCGATGAAATTGCCCAAAATGCTAGCAAGCGAACTATCTTCAAACTGATTAGGGCTCAGATCTCTTTCCATTGAACAAGACAACCATAATTGAGCTCGTTGTGTCGCTAAGAATTTATGGAAACAGCTCTGAGTCTCTATTTCTCCTTGATCGGCTCTCAATTAGCTCAGAGGTTGGTTTTGTGAACGGATACTTTGCAATGGCAATACATACATACAGAGCGCGTAAAGGCTTACCTTCTTATGATTTCTATCACGGTTGCAGGAACTAGGAGGAGGTAAAGAGCATCAATCACTTTCTCTAATACTGCCCTGCCTTATCTTAAATATGAAAACGTAATCTAAAAAATTTCTTTTACGATTGCCTAGCGGACTCATGCCGATTTCGTTTCTACCGAAAAATGCAACCTTCTCTTTGTCCCCTACGCACAAACACTAAAAAGAGCGCGATAAGAAGGCAACATTTTTTTTGTAGAAACGAAAACGCCATAATGTTCCTTGAGTATTCACAGCACATCGGGAACGTAGATGCGTACTTAGTATGAGGTCACGCTGGCGATATTATAATGGGACTTCTGGCTGAAGTGTGACTCACTACATTCGCCATAGAGAGTCGAAGTAGTAAGCGTAGAAAAAAATAAGCTTTGAGTCATCTTAATTTTGTAAACTTAAAGGACAGCAGCTCGAGGTCCTGTACTGTACTGAGTACTGTCCTTTGAAATAAAGTACGGATGATCACCGTATCCGAAAAGTATACGGCGTTAGCCCCACAGAAAATTAAAAAAAACTTGGTAACAAGGCTTCATTTACTTACATATATCTACCTTATTTTCCATTGCAGATCATTACACATCATCTACTTTCAATTACCAAGTAATTGGCTGTGTAATTACATAAACACAAAAGCGGCAACATTTCGTGAATTACCAGCTAGAAGCTAAAATACCAATAATAAATACTCCTACATACAAACAAAAGCATTAAACGCAATTTGAATACAATTTGTAGGCAATTGAAATGTTGCATAAAATGTTGCCGTTATTATTTTCAGCATATACACCTGACAGTTGTAAAAAACGCCACTAAACACAGCGCGAGTGGCAATAAAATTGCGCACAAAAGAGGTGTTGAATACAGGCGGCAATTAAATGCAATGCAAAAATTGCAAAAGTCAAAAATGTAATGCCGCAAACGGGGGAAAGGTAGGCAGTGCAGGTATTGCATGCATACTACTTATATTTGTTGTTTTTGTATTTGTAATTTTTTCACACTTACCAATATCAAGAGCATAACAGAAAGCGCCGCCGCCACCGCCCCCTCCACCACCAACGCCGCTGCCACCACGACCGCCACGGCCTCGTCGTCCATGCCAACTGCTGCAGCTCAATAAAATCAAAGTCAATGTCAGCCAACATAAAGTTTTATTTTTATTAACACCATGCCGCTTAATGCGGCAATAACTTTTCAAATAATTTGTTGCGCAATACGAACAACGGCTTAGCAAAGCGAATGCGCTGCGACAGCTGGCTTCAGGGGACTGCCGCCACCACCACCACCGCCATCGCTGCTGTCGCTGCTGTTGCTTCTGTTGCTGCTGCGTCTGTTGTTGCAATTTGAATGAATTCAATTGTCGATTTTTTATTGTAGCCATTTTATGATATTTTCCGTTTTCGTTTGACTTTCTGCATTCACCACTGCTCGCTGCTGAATTTTAGATTCCTTTTCGGCACTTTGTAGTTAGTGGCTCAACAAAAGGTTGCCACCCCGTTCATTTTGGTGGCAAAGTGTGGCATGAAAGCGTGCAGAAGGTTGATTGTGTTTAGCTGTTGCTGGTCTCTGGGGTCAATGTCAATGTTACTGTTACTGCTGCCGCTATTAATTTTGCTATTCTGGCATTGCACGTAATTTCCAGCCAGTTGAACGGTTGCCGTAACAGTTAAAATAACGGCACGCTAGTGGCATAACTATGTAACTGGCGACTATGTTTGTTTGTAAAAATCGTTTGGGCGATTTGCAATGTAAACTCTGCGAAAATGGCGAATTAATTTAATTAGATTTCAATTGGTAAAACCAGAGTGGCATGGTGGTATGTAAACTGTTTATTTTAATCGAAAGCGTTTTGTTTTATTGTTACGTGCTATTTGTGTTGTTGCAATGACACAGCTGAAAAGAGAATAAAGAGGAAACAAGTATATTGAAATTGGTTGTGTAAGGTCAATCGAATTGAACTAAAACTTTTAAACTAATGGCAGCCCTCTTCAAAAATATATTTTACAAAAAGTTATTTAATCCTCTCTCATTCCATACGCATAAGGAACTATTTTATTTCATTGAATTTTAATTACAAAATAGTTGGCAACCCTGTGCAAAAATATTTTCAATTATTATTTTAAGGGTTAATTTTAGATGAATATTTTAACGGCACTTAAATTGAATTTCGGATTGTTATTTAAATGCCATTTAGCTTTCGTTGGGTTTCAGATCAACTTAATTAAAATATGCCAAACAAGTGGCAACACTGTTGCTTTTCCTTGAAATTGTTGTTGTATTTGTTTTTTGTTTACATTTGTGCTGAACAGCTAATTGTTGTTTGGCTAGATTGATAAAACAACCTTCTTGATGGTTTGGTACAAACACAGGGTTGCACACTTACTAATATTATAAATCCAAAAGTGAGTTTGTTTATTTGTTACGTTTTCACGCATTAACTACTCAACCGATCATCATTAAATTTTGTACACAGGGGCCATTTAGCCTAACTTAAAATATACGATAGATTTAATCTCGATTAGATTAGGGGGCGTGGCACCTCCTATACAAACGGAAATTTTCGTAGCATGTCTCAGCAAATATTTTTGATAGAGTACTGGAACTTGATGTAGATAGAAGTGTTGCCACCCGTTTAAAAATTAAATTCAATTAATTTATATAAATTACTACAATATGGGTATCAATCGAAAGATTTCTGATAAGGGTTTTAGTTCTAAACTACATGTAGGAGGGTTTCTGCGTATTTGAACTTCTTGAATTAAGGGAATTTGGTAATTGGAATATATGTATATCACAATATGGATGACAGACTAAAGGGATTTAATAGGGTTTTAGTAGGAAAATATTTGGAAGAGGATTGCCACCTGTTTTAAAAGTCCAGTTTAAATTATAATTATTCAGCTTGAACATGTAACATTTTCTGAGGTATTTGAAGAGGGATGCCACCTGTTTTAAATCTAACTCAACCACCTTAACATATTATAAGATAAATGTGTTATTACAATCTAGGTTATAATCGAAAGAGTCTTAAAAGCCTTTATTTCTAAGCAATATATGCATGTATGTACAGCAGGATTTCTACATGTTTGAAAATTCAAATTCAACTTGAATTATAGGAATTAACGGTTTAAGAAGTAAAACTTCTAAACTAAAACTACATAAGTATGAAAAAGTATCACAAGAGAGAGGTTTAAGATAGTTTCAGTTTGAAGATATTTTGAAGATAGTTAAAAAATTTAGAATTTTCTGCTTTTCGTATATTTTAAGCATGTTGGGTTTAATTGAAATAAATAACACCTAATGTAGCACGTAGGAATTTCATACACTCAGCGAAGCGGGTAATTCATATTTAAATAGTTATTATGAAAAAACCTGGGACCGAACATAGCAGTTATTGATGAAAACTGTCATGAAAACATTCACTATGAAGAAAATGTTTTACAACTAAGTGAAACATACCAATCGATTTCGTTTTGCACCGAGACTCAAATTTGAAAATAAATTTTTATTTGCAATTTTTATGCAAAATTTAAAAAAAAAACAATTATATTTGATTTTTATATTCAAAAATAATTGTTATTTTCGATTTATAAAATAAAAGTCAGAAATAACGGTTATTTAAAGAGTAATTAAATAAAAGTCAAAAAATAATTGTTTAAGAGTGATTTTTTAATAAAAGTTGTAACTGTTACGGTCCTTGGAAAAAACTTTTATAATAAAAGTCTTTGAATAATAATTATAGATGACTTGAAAAATATTTATCTTAATAAAATGATAATTGATTGACTTTTATTCTTTTCTCTTATAACCCTAAGTATAATACAGACTTAAGCTATCATACTCTATGATTACATTATTAATGCCGGCTCGCAAATAACCTCGATTTCAGTCGTTTAACATCTGCGGATAGCTCCTATACTGCGCAAACCAGTTAAAAAACCCATGTTGACCTCGAGATGACCCTGAAATTAACCCTCAGGTTATTCTGCCACACGGCATTGGAAAGCTTGTATTTTTTCATTAAGTTTACATATTTAACAAATTTGAAGTTAAAAGAAAAATGGGTACGATGGGGGTAACGTTCAGAAAGAATACCCCATATATATAAAGTTTACATCTGCGGTGAGTTTGATTTTTAGCTCTCGCGCAACCTCGGACCTTATCTATAGTAGCGGAAATCAGTCCCGCCAGCCATCTTTTTTGATGAAAGGAATAATGACCACTTAAGTAGGGTTAATATTATGTCCCATACTAGATCGCTATTTTTTTTTTATTAAGCCTCGAGGAGACGCCATGATATCTGATGTTTCAGTTAAGCAAAAACTATTCCGAAAACATTTAACCGCAATTGGAATCATTATCTATCCTTAGAAGTGATTTCAATTATTTCGACTTTATATTTTCATTTTGGTTGTTGGTGTTTCGGACAGTGTAGGAATACTGTTTACGGTACTGTGTAACACTTTTCCGTAATTCTTGTAAAATTTGTTTTGGAGACAAACCGGCTTCGGGTTGTAACAGCTCATCCCTGTACGACTTAGCGGATGCTGTTTGTTCTATAATGTGCATCCTCCGGAAGGTAGAAATCAACCGTTTACATCTTCTTGATTATTGTGCCGTGGATCCACTGGTAGTTACAAATTAGATATTTTCCTTGCATTTTTTTTACCGACTTTATCTCATTGGTGGGAAGGTTGGAAATATAGCGCTCCCATTAATCAGATCTTTCTAGTATCACTAAGCACTAAGTGCTCTTATGCAATCCACTTATTTGATTAGAAGAAATAAGTAGCCATATCACCAAACATATATGTATGTAAATACATACACTCGTGTACTTCTGGTCGTTACAATACTTTGCCTTCTAAATATACAAGGGAAGTTAAGTGCGTATGAAAAACATGTCTTATCCTTTAGTGTTAGGCATCTTAGGGACTAATTAATGGCTGAAAATCGCGCCATTTTCAGAAATAAAAATGTTGTAGCAAGCGAAGGGTCATGACTTTTATGAAAAATATGTATGTACTAACTCCCGCTATACTTCCGAAATGTTGAAATACATATATGTAAGTAACAACAATTTCCTTGCCATTCAAATTCCTCCTCTACAGTAAAGTTTTTAATTTAAATTTCCCATCACTCGCACGCCTTCAAACG